TGCGGGATGCAGATGAGCCCTTATAAGCAGTATATTTGTATGAATAGTCCCTGCACAAAATGCTGCTTATCTAAATCTTATCGGGTTGAGATGTCAGCTTATCGGGTTGAGATGTCATCTTATCGGAAATAACGTTTAAGCAGTCTAATGTACTTGTAAAATTTTCTCTTCTGATAAGCAGTCTGGTATGCATATGTATGTATACAGAAGAATAAGAACACGAGTTATGTATGATGACCATGAAAGGCAGATATTGTGCAATGTACTATAAATAAACTATTTGCTTAATAACAACCTAAAATCCCCATCAGATTGCCTACATTTTGCCTTCTTATTAAACAGTTTCATTGGTTCCAATTTTTTTCTTTTAGATCATCATTTTTATATTTAGGGCAAAAGAAGGCGTCAGTATTTGTAGTTGATACAGTTCAGAGTAACCAGCTACCGGGCATGACCGGGATGTATAATTCAGAGCGTGCCGCGTACATTTCAAAACCCGATAGGTAGGACAAGGACAGGGACATGGGATAGTGACCAGGGACAGGAACAGAACCAGGGACAGGACGAGGATCAGTGACAGGACCGACCAGGACCATGGACAGGACCAGGGAAGGGAACAGGACCAGGGACGGGAACAAAACCAGGGACAGGACCGACCAGGACCAGGGACAGGACCAGGGACGGGAACAGAACCAGGGACAGGACGAGGATCAGGGACAGGACCAGGGACTGGACCAGGGACAGGACCAGTGACAGGAACAGGGTTAGAAACAGGACCAAGGACAGGACTAGGGACCAGGACCAAGGACCAGGGATCAGGGAACAGGACAGGACCTAAAGAAACAATGAAAACCTTTCCTTAAAATCTGTCTCCGTTTGTAGAGCTGCATGTACAGTACCGGATTCTGATCACGTGTTTGAAGTGTACACAGAAACTGATATTAGAAAGGTGTACAAAGCTATTGGAAAAATACTCTCAACCTATATGCAGGTAATTAAGTCGGTTCATCAAACTTTAAACATCAAACTGAGGTCACAGCTTTGTTTAAAATAGCGCTAATCTACATCGCTTGATCTCAACATCCACATTAGGAACTTTTAAATTTTATGAATAAGTACATGGTTCCTTAATTTTAGTCATCCATGGCTACAAGATATTTGAGAGGAATTAATTTAATCCGTCGGACGACAAAAGATGCGGATAACTTCATCCCTGAGGCCGAATTTAAAAAAATTAAATTCAGCCTCTGGATTCACAATATTAAAGTTTTGACCTCTTGCTTAATTAATTTTGTTATTATTGTCATTTTATTTTTAGTATGATGATTATTATTGTTGGTAATGTTGATAGTAATGTTATAAGCATTATTATTATTATTATATCTTGTAGGAGAAGCGTGGTCCTACTGTTGTTGGACTACAGAGTGGGATTGATCTGACCAGCCTGGTCGCCTCTATTCCACAGCTAGGAGATATTCCGGTCATTCCTATACATGTACAAGATACTGATAATCTGTACAGTGTACTGGACTGGCAGAAACTAGGAGCCAGAACAATGATCAGGTATCAGCAGATCTATTTACCAGAACTATGATCAGGTATCAGCAGATCTATTTACCAGAACTATGATCAGGTATCAGCAGATCTATTTGCTATCTTTCACTGCAAACCAATATGTACAACCTTTCACGCTTAAATCTAGCAATATTTTGACAATTACTCCATACAATCACAATTCAAAATAAAAAATCGTTCACAAAGACGTATCAAAATCTTATTATCAGTTTAGCTTTATGTATAATGTATTTACATATATTTATCTATCTATTTATCTACATCGGTCAGTTTGTTTCTATTTATTTAGTATTACATTTTAGGGTTTAATAGAAATAACCCATTATAACAATTTTAATTTTTGTTATGCTTTTGTTTTTGAAGAAAAAAAACCAAATGTAAACAGCTATAAGTAAAAAATTTGAATATTTCAAAAATTTTGTTATGAAGAGAATTCATAAAGAATGAGACTTTACATGTACAGAATTTATACTGTCTATTCCTTTATATTCATATTTCCCTGCAACTGTAAATTTCGCGACCAAAATAATTGAATAAGTCATTTAGATACAATATTCAAGGCAGAAGACATAATTCAACCTTAGAATCGTCATATCTTCAGAGTTGCAGATCGTCTTTACAGTCTCATCCTTTGTGGGTAACCTTGTATGTGAAGCATTGGGAGGGGGGGGGGGTAAAGAATAAAGAATACAATTAGTTCTGAATAATTAGATGGATTGATGCAATTTGCTCTATAGCAAACAGTATAATACTTTAACAAAAATGAAATAAACTAGAAATAATGATGCAGTAGATAGTTTATTTATATTTATTTTCGGGTTAAGGTTGAACAATAACGTAACATATTTTTTTCCAAAATCATAATTCCATAATATATCTTAATATGTATCTTTATTTTTATCTAACCTGTTGATTTATCTATATATGTATCTTATCATCTTAATCTATCCAACAATCTATTAATCTATCTATCTATTTTTTAATTGGTCTATCTATCTTGTTTTCAATTATATAGCTAGTATCTAGATAGATATCCAACTATCTATATATTTATCTAACTAGTTTTGTTTTTTGACTTAAAAGACTCAAAAAGAGTCAAAATTAATGATTACGGAACAATAAAAAGATTGTTCAGGAATAAGGAACAAAAATAAAGGATTAGGACATGGATTTAGGAACAATAAAAAGATTGTTCAGGAATTAGGAACAAAATTATAGGATTAGGACAGGGATTTAGGAACAATAAAAGATTGTTCAGGAATTAGGAACAAAAATAAAGGATTAGGACAGGGATTTAAGGTGGGTCGGACACAGTATTAGGAACAGGAACAATAATAGGAACATTAGCAATTTAAGAACAAAAAGAAATTACTTGTTATACTTAAATGCATAAAAATTAGGAACAATATTACAATTTTGATAAATGAGTATTGANAGCGAATATATTCTAGATATTTGGTAGGATACAACAGTTTATGGAGCGGATATATTCTAATATTTTAGGATACAACAGTTTAAGGAGCGAATATATTCTAGATATTTTATAGGATACAACAGTTTATGGAGCGGATATATTCTAATATTGTAGGATACAACAGTTTAAGGAGCAAATATATATTTTAGATATTTTGTAGGATACAACGGTTTGAGGAGCGGATGTATTTAGATATTTTGTAGTATACAACGGTTTATGGAACGGATATATTTTAGATATATCGTAGGATACAACAGTTTATGGAGCGGATATATTCTAGATATATCGTAGGATACAACAGTTTATGGAGCGGATATATTCTAGATATATTGTAGGATACAACAGTTTATGGAGCGGATATATTCTAGATATATTGTAGGATACAACAGTTTATGGAGTGGATATATTCTAGTTATTTTGTAGGATACAACAGTTTATGGAGCGGATATATTCTACGCAAGATATCTCCGAAAGCAAAACTTTGTCCTGTGGGCGAGTAACTCAGATACTCCAGACTTCGGGGGAAAGGTAGGAATATACAAGGTTACCCACAGGGGCGTTTATAGTTCTGAGATCCATTTACCCCCTTTTTTCAAATCAAATTTGATTTTTTTTTTGGTTTTTAAATGGAGCGTTTTGGTGCTCTAAGAAGATAAATAACCAGGTCTCCCCTTAAGATTTTCTTTGAAATTCTGAAAGCCCTCTTTAAATACAATATTTTTTCCCTCGCAAACAGAAAAATATTTACCAATGATTACTTACCCATTAAGAATGAAATTTATATGATGACATGAGGCTGTTAATTTAAGGTTTTATTTTGAGTGCGTCTGAAGAAAACAGCCTTCTTATTGTATATTATCAGATTTTACAAAGTAAGAATCAAATTAAGAGCTGCAAGGATAATAAATGTAAAAATAGCAGACTGAAAAAATTTCGTACAGTTATCTTTGTAGTCTTATTCTTTGCGGCATAACCCTGTACGCGCACCTTGATGATGAAGAACTAGTTTAATCACAACAAGCCAAAAATTGTAAACAAAAAAAGGAATCTTTCTGGGCAGGTTAATGCGGTATCTTAAAATGTTAAACGGATTTCTGAAAAGTTTAAAACTGTCAAAATAAACAGAACTGATCCTATCCACTAACTAAATATATTAAAGAAATCGGCAATTTTTAGGGTGTGGAAAATATGATATTTTTACTCAACATATATTATATTTTCTTTTTAAATTGAAATGCTTAGAATTTAAAAACATTTTTCAACCTTGTGGCAATATCGCAAAAATCATTAAATTTCTTCGTATTAATATTAGTTTCGGCAATAATAGAAAAGAAATTTAGAAAATATTAAAAATATTTCATTGTTTGTCAAATAAATATAAAAATGAAAAAAATAAAATTTCCTTTTTAAATTCAAACAAATGATTTAGTTTTGCAAAGATTGATTGAATTATTGTTTGATTGTATCGGACGGTTTTTCTCTTAGAAAATTTTTTTTACAACAGTTATCGACTTCGCTGAATATAAAGTAAAAATAAAAATATACATATATATATATATATAATATTATTAAATTTTCTTATTTTTCTTGAAAATAATAATTCTATATTTACATAAACTTAAATCATAACTATTTTTTCCTCATTCTTAAAATTCTTTTCTTTATGTTTTCTTTATCCTATTTTTTATTTCTATTACAAACAGTTTTGGAAACAAAATTTCTTCTGTCATCTTTTTCTATAAAATTTATTTTTAGAATTTTTATTGAATTATTCCAAGTATTTTTGTATTCAAGATTACAAATGTTTTACTTCTCTTAACATTTTTATTGGATTTTATTTTAGACACTATTTGAAATCAGATCTGTACATAGCTAGTACAATAGAGCACTGCAGATACCTTCATATACCAGCAGGAAATCTACCTAAGGTGCTGTTTATGTACTGCATGTACTGTACTGTAAACATTTACGTTAGTAAACAAGAAAAAAATATTATTTTACAAATATTAGATGCGTCATTTAATGCGTATTGGAAGGACCACAGTAATCGAACTAGGTTTTAAATATTGTAGTTCAATAGGCTTTTATGGCGCTTCGCGCCCATCTTTATTTCAATTGTGAACATTTTTTCTTCGTATGCATTGTAAAAAAAAACCCAAAAAGTTCGCGGATATCAAAAAATATTTTCGTGGATTTTAAAAATTTATTTGAAAGCGAATTTTGTTGGAGTCAAATTTTTGAAACTTTTATCATTCATAAACCTTCCTGGGGTGACGTGGTGACGTGAGGCACCACAAAATTTTGGGCCAGATCACTTCAGCCGTTTTGACGTTTATTGGATTTAAACAAACAGACAAGGAGTGTATATAAAGATGGAGCGAATAATTTCTAGATATATTGTAGTATACAACAGTTTATGGAGTAGATATATTCTAGGATACATTAGTTTGTGGAGCGGATATATTCTAGTTATATTGTAGGATACAACAGTTTATGATGGAGCGGATATATTCTAATATTTTAGGATACAACAGTTTAAGGAGCGAATATATTCTAGATATTTGGTAGGATACAACAGTTTATGGAGCGGATATATTCTAATATTGTAGGATACAGCAGTTTAAGGAGCGAATATATTCTAGATATTTTATAGGATACAACAGTTTATGGAGCGGATATATTCTAATATTGTAGGATACAACAGTTTAAGGAGCAAATATATATTTTAGATATTTTGTAGGATACAACGGTTTGAGGAGCGGATGTATTTAGATATTTTGTAGTATACAACGGTTTATGGAACGGATATATTTTAGATATATCGTAGGATACAACAGTTTATGGAGCGGATATATTCTAGATATATTGTAGGATACAACAGTTTATGGAGCGGATATATTCTAGATATATTGTAGGATACAACAGTTTATGGAGTGGATATATTCTAGTTATTTTGTAGGATACAACAGTTTATGGAGCGGATATATTCTACGCAAGATATCTCCGAAAGCAAAACTTTGTCCTGTGGGCGAGTAACTCAGATACTCCAGACTTCGGGGGAAAGGTAGGAATATACAAGGTTACCCACAGGGGCGTTTATAGTTCTGAGATCCATTTACCCCCTTTTTTCAAATCAAATTTGATTTTTTTTTTGGTTTTTAANGGGTTAAAGAAACTCGCTACTTGCGGTAGTGAAATGATTATTTAATTATTCTGCTTTAATAATGATTGTTTGACCAACTAATTGTATAATTGATCTATTATTGAATTAATTGCCAGGAGGCCGATGATGGTCGGCTGCAGACTGATCAGGAGGAAGGGTTTGGGATCGTGATCAACAACGACGGGTTCTACAAGAACGTGTGCGTTGAGTTGGACATTGATGCCTTGGCGGTTAATACCCTTCTCCAGTCTCAGGTATAATATTGATGCCCAAGCGTGTTGGAAAATAAAAGTTGGATCAAAATTAATTGGATCTTAAGAGATTTTAGATGGAGGACGTTTAATAGAGAGTACAATTCAAAGATAGGACGTTCCATAAATAAGAAATTACTTGTTATACTTAAATGCATAAAAATTAGGAACAATATTACAATTTTGATAAATGAGTATTGATTAAGGAACATCACTAGATATGAACAATATTAAAACTTAAGTCTAGTTTTTTACAAATTTCTAAATCTAAATTTATCCTGAATCTGTCAGGGGGGCGAATGTCCCCCACCCCCCCCCCCTGTATCCAACTATCCATATATTTATCAAACTTTTTTTGTTTTCATCTAGATAGTTAGTATCTAGATAGATAGAGCTGGTCTCTATCCAACTATCTATATAGTTATCTAACTAGTTTTGTTTTCATTTAGATAACTAGTATCTATCTATCTATCAATGTAATTTATATGGTATGTATACAGAAGAATAAGAACACGAGTTATGTTAGAACCGTTCTTGTGTCTGGATTATGGAATAATTTAAAGAAAAAAGTGTTGTTATTGTTTTTCATTTTAATGATTATTATACTTTATTTAAAGACAATTTTTCAGGTCGTGGATTGGCCAGCTATGATGAAACAGCTTTAGTAGCTCCAGCATTCAGGGTTCTAAGAACTATGGTCGGAACCTGGCTCAGGTATGATAAACAGCTTTGTAGATCCAGCTTTCAGGGTTGTTGGAACCGTGAAACCTGGCTCAGGTATAATAAAATAGCTCTTGAAGCCTCAGCTTTAAGGGTTCTTAGAACCATGGTCGGAACCTGGCTCAGGTATGATGAAACAGCTCTAGTAGGTCTAGGTTTTAGGGTTCTTAGAACCATGGTCGGAACCTGGCTGAGGTATGATAAACAGCTTTGTAGATCCAGCTTTCAGGGTTCTTAGAACCATGGAACCCGGCTCAGGTATAATAAAATAGCTCTAGAAGCCTCAGCTTTAAGGGTTCTTAGAACCATGGTCGGAACCTGGCTCAGGTATTATGAAACAGCTCTAGTAGTTCTAGGTTTTAGGGTTCTTAGAACATGGAACCTTGCTCAGGTATGATAATGAAACAGCTCTAGTAGATCCACTTTTCAGATCCATGGCACCTGGCTCAGGTATAATAAAATAGGTCTAGTAGCTTCAGCTTTAAAGGTTCCTAGAACCATGGTCGGAACCTGGCTCAGGTATGATGAAACAGCACTAGTAGCTCTAGGTTTGAGGGATCTTAAAACCATGGTCGGAACCTGACTGTGGTATGATGAAACAGCCCTAGTAGCTCTAGCTTTCAGAGTTCTTAGAACCACAGAGCCAGGTTTAGGTATGATAATGAAACAGCTCTAGTACCTCCAGCTTTCAGGGTTCTTAGAACCATGGCTCAGGTATAATGTAACAGCTCTAGTAGCTCAGGCTGAAAACTTCAGTAACTTCTTTTTGGACCAAAAATGATAGACTAATTTTGTGAATTTTACCGATCAATAAGAACCCTTGGATCTATAACTTTTATCCTTGAGATTATTTGCGCTCTGTCAAGTTCGTGTCTAGATTAATAATCCTTTTAATTGGCCTCCATTGGATCTTATGGGATACCTTATTGGTTAATCTTTTAAACTTTTTAACAAGTCGGTAGAGACTTTGAAAAGATTAAATCGATGATTAGATTGTATGGGAGGGGGCGATTTATAGAAATACTTGTCTGTTTCACAGAGTGGGAACCTTTCCATCTTAATCGGAGGAGATATCGTCGTTGAATGTGTTGAATTTTGACAATTTCCTTCAGTTTTCTGAAGCAAAAATCCGCAGGTTACTTTAATAGTGAAACATAAAGGAATTATTTTCAGTTAGAAAACATTGGCATTCTTGATCAGACAGATTTATAATAATAATAATAATAATTAATAATATGCCACCGTTCTGATTCTGTGGTGCAACTCCATGAATTGAGGGTCATTTGAAGTGACGTGTATAGTCCCTTTATCCTCTGATATTCAGGGATGTTGTCCAGTATAAGAATGTGTTTGCTGATTACCAAATTATACATTTCTATCGCTGGCTCCGCAGTCCTAAAAGTCTTCTCTACGACCCCGCTCTCAGGTAATAAAACGTATTTTTAAAGAGTGGGGGGGGGGGACAAATAATAAAAAAACTCAAAAATTTCCCAAACATCGTTAATTATAATGCGTACTGCAGTTGTGGGATTAATTTAATCAACCCACTACTACTACTATTTAATATTTCTACAATACAAATTGAAAATATCGTGTGAATGATTAACATTTTTGAATTTAGGAAATCTCTGTTGCAGTTGATGAAGAAGCTTCTTCTCCATCTTATTGCAGAGTTTAAGCGTCTTGGAGCAGTTATTATATTCGCGGATTTTAACCGAATCATTATCTCAACCAAGAAGCGTCAGTACTCCGACGCGTCGACCTACGTGGACTACATTAGTCAGCATATCAGGAATAAGGAGATGTTTCACTGTATAAACATTAGGTAAGCCCATTTTTTAGCGAGCACTCATAAGAAAAAAAGTTGTGTTTCAAAAATATTAAAATTAAATCTGATTTTTAATATTTTATTGTTTTCAAAATTGATATTAAGCTGCAGAATCATACTTGCAATTATACTAAGCAAACTCTGCAATTTTCAATCTTACATTTTTTATCCAAATATCTCCTGAGGGTGAAATTTTAAATATAACAGTTCTTAGCCACATCGCGTTTTAACTTGAGATTCTGTATTGAAAAAAGATCAATAACTGCATATTAGACTGGAAACCAGAGCTGAAAACTTTATAACGAGATATCCTTAATCCCGATTAATTAATCTGAGTATCCAATGAACACTCTTTTGATTTTCTTCTTAAACTACTTTTTCTTTGATATAGTGGCGAAAAATCAAAAAGCGGTTTATTAATTTAGAGAGTCCATCCTCTTTCTTCATACAATCTTAAATGGCGCGCAAAATTTTAAATTTACCGGCTCTTTATGCGACTCTGATTGGTTGAATTTTATACACTTTTCAGAATATAAGTACAAGATTAGGTTAGTCTCGATATTAAGAAAAAGAGAGGATCAAGCATCAATCTCAATATCGACCATTCTGAAGTTTTCAGCTCAGTACTGTTTGAATCAGTACAGAGTTCAGTACTGTTTGAATCAGTACAGAGTTCAGTACTGTTTGAATCAGTACTGAGTTACTCACAAAGAATAAGACTCAGGAGATGACTAATACTACAGAGAATTTTCACTGTCTGTTTCCTTAAATTTATGATTCCCCGCAACTGTATACTTGTTTCTTTCTTTGGACAATCAACAATAAGGTTAAAATACTAAGTTCAAGCAAAAGATGTACAATTTAATTTTGGATTCGTCATACTAAAAGAGTTTCAGGTCGTCTTTACAGTCTCATCCTTTTAACCCTGTATCTGGAGAAATAGACGAATCTTACATACCACCTTGTATTCATAAATAGCAATGTTTAAATTCATCATCTGCAATAAAAGCAATGGAAAAATATCTTTTATTGTCTTTATTTAGCATGTAGAGCTATTTTTTATAAGTGTAATTTAAAACATGAGAAAATGGGGGAAAGTTTTCTTCTATTGCCCCAATGAGGGCTCTTGACTTATGAAAGAATTAAACTTCTGAGGTTTTAATGTTTTAAAGATGAAAGGAACTAAGATCGTTATAAACAGATTAAAACATTGTGTGTTCAGGTTGGCTAGTTCCTGGGATATACTCCTCTGGTTGGACCCAGCTAACTATGGAGGAGTTAAGTCTAGGTATTATTGTTACTTTTACTGTTGCTGTTACTGTTACTTTTACTATTTTTATTATTTTTTATCTAAATTAGTTCAATTTTAAATTTTTTTTTTAGAATATTGCCTGAGAGGACGGAGGAGGACGAAGAGGTTACTCTAGCCGATGAGGTAGCTTTTTTTTGTGTTAGGTAATTTCCCAAAGGCCTTTTCCCAAGAGCAACTTCCCAAAGTACAATTTCTCAAGTGTCAATTTCCCAAAGGTTAGGGGGCTGAGCGCTGCGACTAGAACAGACTTGGGAAGTTGTTGCTTGGGAAATGGCTCATTTGGGAAGTTGCCACTGGAAAATACCCTTTGAAAGTTGCCTCTTGGGAAAATGCCCTTGGGAAGGTACATAGCATAGATATTATTTTTTTTTAAGGGGGGGGGGGGTGAAGAATTATACCCTCACTTTGCATTAGGTTATTTAACTCAAGATGCTTACTTAGTTATTTGTATTTTGTATGGTAAATAAATGTATTCAATTCAGTTTTATTACTTAATTAATCTAATACTGAAATAAAATTAGAGGGAAATAGCAAATCACGTATTTTTTATATTTAAATATATTTTATGGTCTAAATATTAATATTTAACCATCTGTTTATGAAAAAAATCCCCCTTAGAACTCAGTTAATGTTCATTCCAAGAAAAAGTTCTATTTCTTTGTAAATCTAAAATAAAGAACAAAATAATTAATTCAAAAGTTTAAATTTTTCAAAGGAATAAACTTGAAATAATTTCAGTTGTCTTTTTTTCTTTTTGCATAATTAAAAAACAAATATTCATGAAAATAATTTTGTTAAAAGTTTCACTAATTTTTTGTCTAATTTAGTTTTGTCTTTCTTTTGATCAATTCAAGGAAGAGTGTGCAACGAAATATGCTTGAATTGAATTTTAAAGAAGCAAAGTTAGTTCACAAATTCATAGCTTTGATGAAACTTAAACTAACTTTAAGATAGAAATAAGTAGAATAAATTAAATTGGTTTAACAAACAGGAATTACATACAGACTGTTAAACAGTGTCTCAGCTCAGATAATTCTTTTCTAAAAAGAAATTTACAAAATTTGAATACCTCAAGATGAGACATTGAACTTATTTGTTAAAAAAAAATCAGCAAAAAGGAATATTGCTCCAATTTTTATCCAGGGTTTCTTTTTTTGTGATGAAATCTCTTTTTTTACATTTTTTAGTAAGTAAATAAGTCTTTAATTTATTTATTTATTTATAAATTATAAATCAATAAATTGAGGGGAAAATTTTTAAAAACCTCCAAAAATAGAGTGTGGAAATATTTCCCCCCCCCCAAATCTAAAAAATAAAGGGAAAAGATAAGAAAAGTTAAATATTTATTTCTTACATTTTTAAAACAATTGGTGTTGGATTGTTAGTACTCGTTGACGATGAACTCCCAATTTATGGAATGAGAAAAGTATATGTTTTACACTAATGTAAAAAAAAAATAAAATAGCTTTTCAAGATTGTTCATGTGGTCGCAGGGCGTCCCTAAAAGTCTGATTCGATTTGATTTGATTTGATTTTACACAAAATAGACATTTTTAACTCAGGATGAAGATGATGCTCCTGAGATTGCCATGACCTGGAACTTGGCTAACTTCCTTCCTGAGGAGGGGAATATCCGGGGAAATTTCAACAGGTACTACCAGAATTTCATGGATTAGTGGAGGAATTTCAACTGTTAGTTAACGAATTTCTGCGTGTATTCATGTAATTTCCGCAGGTTGATTAGAAATACCAGGAATTTTCAACAGGCAACAGAATTTTAGCACAAAGTAATGGAATTTTAAGAAGCAGGTTATAGATATCTGTAATCAAGGGAGGAATTTCAACATGTTATCAAGGAATTGAAGAAGATACTAAAAACTCTTCACATATAGAATTTCAAGGTAGGTTAAGAAATTTCAAGAATTCGTGGAGGAATATTTAGAATTGTTTAAGAAATCAAGGAATTTTAAGAGATAGTTTAGTAATGTTAACAGAATTTTAGTGCAGGTGCTTTAAAAATTTCAGGAAGAAGTTAAGCAATATCAACAGGTAGTGAAGACATTTCAGCAGATAGGGAAGGAATTTCAGCAGATAGTGAAGATATAGCAGGTAGTAAAAAGAGTACTGAAAAAAAGAGTAAAAAAGTAAAAAGAGGTATTGAAGGAATTTCAGCAACAGTGAAGGAATTTTAGCAGTTAGTTTAGGTATTTCAGCGGATAGTGAAGGAATTTTAGCAGATAGTGAAGGAATTTTATAGCCGGTGTTTTAGAAATTTCAGGAAGTGCTATAGAAATTTTTGTTCAAGGAATCTTATCAAGTAGTAGAGGAATTCGAATATTAAATTTTGTTCTTAAGCGGTTTTAACTGGAGCTCGACCTTGATTTCCAGCTAATGGTGGTTGACTGGCTAGTGGCTATTTAACATTTATTTATTTAATTATTCATTTATTTGTTTATTTATTTATTTCTTAGGGTTGTTGTTGGTTATATCTCAGCAGTGAATAACTACTTAGAACGAGAGAAGGAGAAAATTGCCCCAGGAAACTTGAATCATTTTATTTATCTGTATTTTGTAGTTCAATCCCCATGTTCATTTCATCATAAATTAATTCATTGATCCATCCTTTGATTTTCATTGATTCATTCATTGATTCTTTGATTTATTGATTAATTCAATGACCCATCCTTGGATTCATTGATTCGTTCATTGATCGATTGATTGATTCATTCATTCATTGATTCATCGTTTCATTCATTAATTCAATGATGTTCATCCTTTCATTCATTGATTCATTGATTCATTAATTCATTGATGATTCATCTTTGGAAAATTCATAATATCTTTGATTGCTTTCTTCATTAATTGATTTGATAACTAGTAATAATTGATTAATTTTTTCACTGTTTAATTCTTTGATTCATTCCTTTGATTTACTGATTCCTCCTCAATTCATTCCTTTGATTTACTGATTCCTCCTCAATTCATTCCTTTGATTTACTGATTCCCCCTCAATTCATTCCTTTCATTCGTTGATTATTGATCTTTGATACATCATTACTTTCTTATTGTTCAATAATTTATTTTTTGAATGATTAATTGATTGAGTAGGAGAGACTCCAATCCGTAAACGCAAGTTGACCCTAACTCCCGGAGGGTTCGGCACCCCATCCACCAACCCAAATAGGTAAACAATATATATATATAAGCAAGCATATATGTTGTATATTTTGTTCAGAAATTTGATGTGTTTCTCAGTAATAATCACGCAACCTCGGAGTTTACTATGTAAAAAGTAAAATATTTACCAGAGGGAGTTTATTATCCGATTAAAAAATTATTACCCCCTGAATTCCTAAGGCCAAGTGTTACTCGTTCCTGTCTATAAAATTGAATAATGCTAACTAGCTTGGTGCTTTATTAGCTATCCTGGTAAAAAGTATACTACTAACAAACTTTACTGTTTTTCTTAAATTTCAATAACAAAAAACAACATACATATATAAACTTGTGGAGGAAATAGACTGGTGCCGAGGGCTCGCAGAATACATATTTATATTTAATTCAGATTATTTTTATGATTTCTTTGATGCAGAAAGGAACCAATGTCTGTTGAGGAGTTCGCTGATGATTTAGTGTCTGGAGAGCTCAGGTAATTCAATGAAATTTGTCGCCTAAACATTTATCCGCCATTGCAAACCAAGCGGCCAAATGTATTTTTTTAATTTTTGCGCCAATTTTGTAGTTTTGAACTTTAATTGTAAATTAAATTGAATGAATTGAATGAATTAAATAGACTTGCTAAGGAAAAAATATTACTGAACCTCAATAAACTTGTGTATATAAAATGAATTTGGTATCACAGGAAAAACAAATCTGCTATTTTATTCTCTAATTTCTTCATAGTTGATAGTTTTTATTCATAATTGTTTTTGATATAAATTATTTTGTTAATTTAAAATATTTTCAGTCAGAGACTGTTTGGAGTTGTTGAAAAGATAAATAAAAAATTTCCGGAACATCGAGGAGATGCAGAGGAATATATTCATTCATTTATTAATTCACTTATTCATTTTTCACATATTTATTCATTCATCCTTTCATTTATTTATCCTTTCTTTCATGTTTTCATTCCTGTATTCCTTAATTCACTTATTTATTCTTCTATTTCAACTTTAAGTTGGGGCTCATTACCCTCCTCTCTTCATGAAAAGTTTTCTTGAACTCTGTAATAAAGAGTTTTAAATGGGATCAGAGAAATGATGAATATATGTGACAGGACTCCATATTCCCTTCTCTACCTGGCTCCCATCTCAAGCTGACCCACCCAGCCCTAGAGTTCGTCAAGGCAATCTGTAAGGTAAGTCATGTCGTCCCAGTAGCAATGACATGTACAGAAGTACAGAATTTTGTTCAGTTTTTTCTTGACATTTCAAGGGAGGGGGTTTAGCTAACATAGCTTTCTTTGCATTTGGCTCCCATTCTAACCCCAGGTTCTTCCTACCCTGAATCAGCGCTCCATGATCATTTAGCCAAGCATGTGAGTGACCAAAAACAGCCCGAACCCGTTTTAAGTTTGTACTGAAAACCAGCCTTCTTTTCAAGTAGAGCTCATATTAAAAATCTAATTTAAGAAAAGTTTTAAATGATTTTCTCAATTTCATATAATTTAAATGTTCGTAGTGAATGTTTAAGGAGTTTTTTCAATCATAGAATATTTAAAGGAGATTATATTTCACAATGTAGAGAATGTAAATGTACCCCTCCCAATTTATTAAATATAATTTTTTCTTCATAATAAATTAAACAGTTAAGTAGGCGATTATAGCAATATAATGAAGATTGAAGATGAAGCTGTTTAACATAAATATAGAACTCAAGAGACGCTGTCAATTAAAAAAGCTTCTCTTTGAATACTTATAAATTTGTAATTAAAAAAAGCTTGTTAATAATCGTAACTTAACTAAAAAGTCGTCTTCATTGTATTGTTATAATCGCCTACCACTGTATATAGTGTGTACAATGAACATCGTTATCAAATCTAATATTTGGGCCCATCTAGAATGCTTCATACATTTTTCTTTTACTCAGAAGAACTCTTCAAACAATATTTGGTATATTTGCACTTTGCAGACATAAGAGCGTAGATGCTTCCAGTAGTTTTAGCAAAATATTTTTCATATTTTGGATGGACATGATAAATAAATTTCTATTCTTCTGAGGTATTTGAAAATATTTTAGGACATTCATTGCTTTTAAAAAATGTGAATACTTTTTGGGAAATGAAGAGTGTTGAAGTGAAACAAATATTTACCGTTTAATATATCCCACGAAATGTAGGAGTACAATTATTATAAATGTAAAATTTGGGAATTTAAAAAAAACCCGACATTTTGGAAATTTCCCAAAACCTAAGGCATTTGCGAAAATTTACAAAACCAAGACGGTTAGGGAGATATTCTAAATTCTCACAAATACACCACCATCAGATTTCAACAGAAATTTTGGAGGTCTGAGGAATTTCTCAACATCAAGTCATTAGAAAAATTTCATAGATACTTAAACTTAACAGACATCTAAACTTGATTGTTACTTGATGAATAATTCCCAAAGCTCTAGGTAGGACTATGAGGGGAATTTCGGACCGGACCGAAATATCCAATCATTTGGGAAATTTTCAAAATTTAGTAATTTAACACCCTCAAATATCTATGAGAATCTGGGAAATTCCTCAAATTTCTTTTAGAATATAAGAATAGTTTTTGTTTTAATAATAAAAAATTTTTCAAGTGGCAAGCTATTAGGGAAATTCCCAGGATATCCCTCCAGAGCTCTAGTAATCCCCAGTTTGATGATTTACTCCCAGGTTCTGTACCTGGATACTGGTGTAGAGAAGACTGTAACAAAGATGAGACGGAACCTGCTGAAACTGCTGAATGTGGGAGAGTTTAATCCAGCAGCAGAATGGAAGGATCCGTGCATCTCATTCATCCTACCAGAGGTAAACTTTTAATTCAAATATTATTTCAAGTCGCTCTGTCATAAATGGTTAAATTATGATGTCAATAAACTTTTCTTTATTGTCCTTCCTTAGTGAGACAATTTTTTTGATTTTCTTGCTTTTCTGTACTTTGCTCTAGGTTATCTGTAAGCTTTACTCCATGTTATCTGTATTCTATACTCCAGGTTATCTGTAAGCTTTACTCCATGTTATCTGTATTCTATACTCCAGGGCTTTACTCCATGTTATCTGTATTCTATACTCCAGGTTATCTGTAAGCTTTACTCCATGTTATCTGTATTCTATACTCCAGGTTATCTGTAAGCTATACTCCAGGTTATCTGTAAACTATACTCCAGGTTATCTGTTACCTATGCTCCAGGTTATCTGTAAACTATGCTCTAGGTTATCTGTAAGTCCTGTAATTTCTGTCGAGACCTAGACCTGTGTAAGGATGGAGACCAAGGGGAGGTTGCTGGAACTCCAGTCTGGATCTGCTCAAACGGAGCCTGTCAAACCCCATACAATTCCCAGGTAGATTTATTATTACTTTTTATATTAGTAATAACATTATTTGCAACATTAGTATTATTATCATGTGTTAAGTATTATTTATATTAATATTATAGATATTTTTAACTTCATACTAATTTTTATTATTATTCTTGTTCATTTTCCCATTCATCATATGTCATTGTCATAGGCGTAGGCATAGGCATAGGCATTGTAACAGGCATTGACATTTTCAATTACACATGGGCATTGCTGATATTGTAAATGTCGTCATCGGTGTTGGCGTTGGCATTTGCATTATCATTCGCATTTGCATTGGCATTGTCATTGCCTTTGTATTTATCATTTCAATTGTTATCGTAATTGTTATGTATTGCCATTATCGTTTCTATTGGTATTGTCACTATCAGTTTCTTTCAGCCTTTGTCAGTATAATTCTATTTGTCAATGGCATTGACATTGCAAATGTTAACTTTTTCCCGCAAATGTTTCCTATGGTTTTTTTTTTTTCAGTTATTCATATAATTAAAAAGATTTACACTCCAAATCTAAAAAATTTATTTCAAGTACAATTTCTATTCATTATGATAAATTTTTTGCCTTTTCACTTCTAATCCTTATCATTGTTTGTGAGCGTGCATAAATCCAGCTTTCTAGATATTCAATAGGATTAGTACAGTACACCGTGTGCACTGCATTTTCATTTTCAATTCAAATATAATCTTAAATTAAGTTTGATGCACCCATTCATTGCCGTGGATTTTATATTTTTACAAAATGGCAATTTGTAGGTTAAAGGATTTTAGTTTTCAGAAAACCTATTCTATTCCAAAGGATATGTTCTCAAGAATAAAATCTTCAGAATATTTGGAACCAAATATTTGGAGATTTATTAGGATTAAGATATATTGAGAAATATTTTTAAAGTTTCAAGAAATCTAATTTTGATTGAATTCATGATTTATTAAGTGTGGAGTTTTAAATTTTCTAAATTTTGATTATAAAACCAAATTTAAAAATGTTTTTTTACAATGGAAATTTGATGATTATTTCGAAATGTTACCCGCATTTTTCAAAACAAAGAATTGTGGTGTTTTTTTTTAAAGTTTTTATGTGCTCTTGGAAGAGGGTGCTCTGAGGTTCAGACTTATAATATTAGAATTTAAACCTAATTTATCGGCAACATTTCATATTAACAGTCAATATCAGAATAATATGAGATTTTACGGGAGTAAATAAAAAACCACTTAAGAAGAAGAAATAAATTGTCTTCTCTCACATTTTATCCTTCTTGAAGGATTAAAAAAGAAAATACGGAAAATTTCTTAATTTTTGGCTGCAATAACTTTCTATTAAGCAAGGATATGGACCCAGGTATTCTAGCAAGTAGACTGAAAACATTAAACCAATGTGGTTCCATCTAGCGGCCAATGTTATACAAATTGTTAGTTCCTATGTTCGCCGCTTGAATGTATGATTTTGTGGCGCTTGCATGCTCAAGTTGTTTATTTTTTCTCTTATCGACAAACCCCTTTATGAAGAGACTCTACCATTAGCAGGTTTCAATATATTTTTTGACACCAATATTTAAAAAAGGTTTTTTTTAAATTAAAAAATTAACATTATTTAATACGCATGACGCCTAAAGGACATGTTAATCGGAAGGAAATTGGTATTCGGACACAATGCCGGATTCAATTTTAAAACGAATTTAATATTCAAATATGGTCATAGTAACACATTACATTAAACGTTAAGCTTGCAGGCCTCACTTCATAGTCATGATGTAGAAAACTCACTTTATAGTCATGATATAGAAAACTCACATTATAGCCATGATTTAGAAAACTCACTTTATAGTCATGATTTAGAAAACTTACTTTATAGTCATGATTTAGAAAACTCACTTTACATTCATGATTTAGAAAACTCACATTATAGCCATAATTTAGAAAACTCACTTTATAGTCATGATTTAGAAAATTCACTTTATAGTCATGATTTAGAAAATTCACTTTAAAGGCATCCTTTAGAAAACTCACTTTATAGTCATGATTTAGAAAACTCACTTTATAGTCATGATTTAGAAAACTCGCTTTATAGTCATGATTTAGAAAACTCACATTATAGCCATGATTTAGAAAACTCACTTTATAGTCATGATTTAGAAAACTCACTTTATAGTTAAGATTTAGAAAACTCACTTTATAGTCAAGATTTAGAAAATTCACTTTATAGTCATGATTTAGAAAACTCACTTTATAGTCAAGATTTAGAAAACTCACCTTATAGTCATGATTTAAAAAATTCACTTTATAGTCATGATTTAGAAAACTTACTTTATAGTCATGATTTAGAAAACTCACTTTATAGTCGTGATTTAGAAAATTCACTTTAAAGGCATCTTTTAGAAAACTCACTTTATAGTCATGATTTAGAAAACTCACTTTATAGTCATGATATAGAAAACTCACATTATAGCCATGATTTAGAAAACTCACTTTATAGTCATGATTTAGAAAACTCACTTTCTAGTCATGATTTAGAAAACTCACTTTATAGTTATGATATAGAAAACTCACATTATAGCCATGATTTAGAAAACTCACTTTATAGTCATGATTTAGAAAACTCACTTTATAGCCATGATTTAAAAAATTCACTTTATAGTCATGATTTAGAAAACTCACCTTATAGTCATGATTTAAAAAATTCACTTTATAGTCATGATTTAGAAATCTCACTTTATAGTCGTGATTTAGAAAATTCACTTTAAAGTCATTCTTTAGAAAACTCACTTTGTAGTCATGATTTAGAAAACTCACTTTATAACTCACTTTATAGTCAAGATTTAGAAAATTCACTTTATAGTCATGATTTAGAAAACTCACTTTATAGTCAAGATTTAGAAAACTCACTTTATAGTCATGATTTAAAAAACTCACTTTATAGTCAAGATTTAGAAAATTTACTTTATAGTCATGATATGAAAACTCACTTTATAGTCATGATTTAGAAAACTCACTTTATAGTCATGATTTAGAAAACTCGCGTTATAGTCAAGATTTAGAAAACTCACTTTATAGGCATGATTTAGAAAACTCACTATATAGTCATGATTTAGAAAACTCGCTTTATAGTCATGATTTAGAAAACTCACTTTATAGCCATGATTTTGAAAACTTACTTTATAGTCATGATTTAGAAAGCTCACTTTATAGTCATGATTTAGAAAACTCACTTTATAGTCGTGATTTAGAAAATTCACTTTATTGTCAAGATTTAGAAAACTCACTTTATAGTCAAGATTTAGAAAACTCACTTTATAGTCATGATTTAGAAAACTCACTTCCAGAAAACAGTGTCTATGTTTTAAATAAACACACTGAAATACACTCTCTGTAGTGAAACTTTTAATTAATTTATATACCCTTTAATTTGAATGATGTTTAATTTTAAGCAAGTCTTAGATTAGAATTTGGAAATAAATTAAAGAGTGGATTATTCTAAACTTATCCCTTCACAAACATATTTCAAAATAGATTGTTTTGATTCTAAGTCCTGTGTAGTAAGAAAGTCCCGATGCGATCTTAATCGTTTAATAATGAGGTATTGGGACTGGGAAATTATAATCTGTATCTTTGAAAAACACAATATCAAGATAACGAGGAAATATGAACAACTAGGCATTAGTTAGACTTTTGTATATGATCAAGGTGTTCACTGTGCAGTGTACACTGTACACTGTAATTAGCTCCTATTGTATATGATCAAGGTGTACACTGTACTGTACACTGTACACTGTACACTGTACACTGTACTAAGCTTCTATTGTAAATGATTTTAACTTAAAAACATCGAACATATTTCAAGATGACATTGTACAATGTACTTGAGATACATTCTATATTTTGATTTTTAGGAGATTGAAGCCATGTTGGTTGATTGTGTGAAGAGGAAAACTATGGGTTATATTCTACAGGTTATTCATGCGTACATTCATATTCATTTATTAATATTCTTTCATTTATTCATTCATTGATATAATTTGTTTTATATTCTTAATTTATATTCATTCATTCATTTATTCATATTTATTCATTTATATACTCATTCATACTTATTCATTTATATTCATTGATTTATTCATTCATTCCTATAATTTAATTTATTCATTTATTCATATTCATTTATTTATTCATATTCATTGATTTATTTATATTAATTTATTATATTCATTCACTTATATTTATTCATTTATATCATACTCATTTTCTTAAATTCATTCATTCATATATATTCATTTATTTATTTATTTATTCACATAATTTCATTTATATTATTAATTTAAACTCACAAATTTTTTCATTTATTCATGCTCATTTATTTATTTATATTGATTTATTTATTCATTCATTTATATTTATTTTCATTTATATTTATTTATTATATTCATTCATTTATTATATTCATTTATTTATTATATTCATTCATTTATATATTCTTTCATTTATTACATTCATTCACTTATATTCATACATTTACAATGCATGCATTCTTTTATATTCATTTATTTATATTCATTTATTTATATTCAGTCATTTATGTTCATTTATTTATATTAATTCATTTATATTCATTCATTTATATTCATTCATTTATATTCAGTCATTTATATTCAGTCATTTATGTTCAGTTATTTCATAATCATTCATTTATATTCAGTCATTTATATTCATTCATTTATATTCATTCATTTATATTCAGTCATTTATATTCAGTAATCTATCTTCAGTCATTTTTATTCAGTCATTTATATCTATTCTTTTATATTCTTTCGATTGTAGTTGGTCATTTATATTATTTATTCATCAATCCTTTCATTCTTTGATCCCTATGTTCATTCTAGAAATCACGTTATCTGTTATATTAATAGGATTATTTATTTTTTTGTATTATTCAACTAAAACATGTGATGCGTGTTCTTTCCTTATCAATTAAATATATTTTTTTTTAACCATCTTTTTTTATATATTTTCATAAACTGTTGTCATTTACTAGGATTTAACCTGTGATAAATGTAAGGAAGTTACTCAGTACAACATGGCCAAGCGGTGCAGGTAGACATTTTTGTACTCCTAACAATTTTTTTTATCAATAGTGAAGTAGTGGTTTTGTACGTTCATTGATTTTATTTAAAGGCGAGGTAGTCGTTTTGTACATTTATTAATTATTTTTTAACTGTGTGGTAGCCATTTTTGTACATTTCTTAATTATTTTTAACTGTAAGGTAAACACTTCTGTACTTAAATGAATTATTTCAATAGGTGGTAGTCATTTTTGAACGTTTGTATATTATTTTCAAGTGTGTGGTAGTCATTTTTGTCCATTTTTTAATTGTTATCAAGTGTAATTTTTGTACTTATATGAATAATTTTCAACAGGTGGTAGTCATTTTTGAACATTTGTTCATTATTTTCAAGTGTGTGGTAGTCATTTTTGTACAATTGTTAATTGTTTTCAAGTGTGTGGTGGTAATTTTTGTCCTGATTGAACGTTGTGGCAGCCATTTTGTTTAGTAAATTGTGTGAAAGTCTTTGTTAATAATAATGCATCGGTTAAATTAATATCTCTGTATGTTATTTTTTATTTGCATTTTTGTTTTTGTTTTTGTTTTAATTTATGTATAGCGGAACTGCGGTGTTGCTCTTAACAAAAATATTATTAGCTAAAGTACCTGGTGTTGCCAAGGTGTATTTCATTATTTAAAGTAATAGTTACTACTACCGTTTCCTCGGGCTTGACATTATAATTATTTTAGCTGAAATATTCGGCGTTTCCCGTGGAATTACAAAAATGTTCAGATTGCATAGCCTATATAGCTTTATAAAATTCAGATATAGCTTTCATTTAAATGAATTTATATATATATAATATACATATTATTTAATATATATGTTTTAAGATTTTTGACTACTGAGGATCGTAATGGTAGGTTAAACATTATGTACAATTTAATTTAATTTAGAAACTGAAGTAAATATATATCTATATCTATATGATGACGCTTTTCGCTCACATATATATATATAGTTGTAAACGTTTTTGATTGGGGAACTCGGGAGACCCAAGGAAATGTTCTGAGCTAGGTTTTGAGACTCTAAGTTGGCTGGGTCATCTTTTATAGTTTAATGATAGCTAAAATAGTAATAAACGACCAAGCGCGGGTAATCGGTAAAAGATATTACAGGGTGGCCAAAATGTACGGATTGTACGGATTAATTTTTTTTAAACCCTAAAATTGTACGGATTGTACGGATTGTACGGATTTGTTTTCAAATTGTACGGATTGTACGGATTTTTATTCTGGAAAATACACCGTTTTTTTTAAATTTTCACTCATTTCAGCAAATTTTTCATGAAAAAAAAAAAAAAAAATTCTCGTCAAATGAAGTTAGTTTAACTTATTTTCTGCATTCTAAATAATATTAGATTGATTAATGTTTCAATTGACAATCAAAATTCATTCATAATTTTCGAGATATGTCCAAGAAGTGTTTATTTGAGAATATGTTCCATAAGTACTTATTTGATTGCTTATTCAAGAAGATGTTCCAGTATCCTGTACCCAGTATCCT